TGTCTTTCTGAATAACATACTGAAATATGTAAGTGGCAGGATCCCTAATAAGAAAGTTATAAAATATTGCTGGCCCCTGTCCGGCCCTGGACGCCCGGATTAAATATTCTGATACTGTACATTTCTTCGTTTTGTCTTTCTGAATAACATACTGAAATATGTAAGTGGCAGGATCCCTAATAAGAAAGTTATAAAATATTGCTGGCCCCTGTCCGACCCTGGACGCCCGGATTAAATATTCTGATACTGTACATTTCTTCGTTTTGTCTTTCTGAATAACATACTGAAATATGTAAGTGGCAGGATCCCTAATGAGGAAGTTATAAAATATTGCTGGCCCCTGTCCGGCCCTGGACGCCCGGATTAAATATTCTGATACTGTACATATCTTCTTTTTGTCTTTCCGAATGACATACGGAAATATGTAAGTGGCAGGATCCCTAATAAGAAAGTTATAAAATATTGCTGGCCCCTGTCCGGCCCTGGACGCCCGGATTAAATATTCTGATACTGTACATTTCTTCGTTTTATCTTTCTGAATAACATACTGAAATATGTGAGTGGCAGGATCCCTAATAAGAAAGTTATAAAATATTGCTGGCCCCTGTCCGGCCCTGGACGCCCGGATTGAATATTCTGATACTGTACATTTCCTCGTTTTGTCTTTCTGAATGACATACTGAAATATGTAAGTGGCAGGATCCCTAATAAGAAAGTTATCAAATATTGCTGGCCCCTGTCCGGCCCTGAACGCCCGGATTTAATATTCTGATACCGTTCATTTCTTCGTTTTGTCTTTCCGGATGACATACTGAAATATGTAAGTGGCAGGATCCCTAATAAGGAAGTTATAAATTATTGCTGGCCCCTGTCCGGCCCTGGACGCCCGGATTAAATATTCTGATACTGTAAATTTCCTCGTTTTGTCTTTCTGATTGACATACTGAAATATGTAAGTGGCAGGATCCCTAATAAGAAAATTATAAAATATTGCTGGCCCCTGTCTGGCCCTGGACGCCCGGATTGAATATTCTGATACTGTACATTTCTTCGTTTTATCTTTCTGAATAACATACTGAAATATGTAAGTGGCAGGATCCCTAATAAGAAAGTTTTAAAATATTGCTGGCCCCTGTCCGGCCCTGGACGCCCGGATTAAATATTCTGATACTGTACATTTCTTCGTTTTGTCTTTCCGAATGACATACGGAAATATGTAAGTGGCAGGATCCCTAATAAGAAAGTTATAAAATATTGCTGGCCCCTGTCCGGCCCTGGACGCCTGGATTTAATATTCTGATACTGTACATTTCCTCGTTTTGTCTTTCCGAATGACATACTGAAATATATGTAAGTGGCAGGATCCCTAATAAGAAAGTTATAAAATATTGCTGGCCCCTGTCCGGCCCTGGACGCCCGGATTAAATATTCTGATACTGTACATTTCTTCGTTTTGTCTTTCTGAATAACATACTGAAATATGTAAGTGGCAGGATCCCTAATAAGAAAGTTATAAAATATTGCTGGCCCCTGTCCGGCCCTGGACGCCCGGATCAAATATTCTGATACTGTACATTTCTTCGTTTTGTCTTTCTGAATAACATACTGAAATATGTAAGTGGCAGGATCCCTAATAAGAAAGTTATAAAATATTGCTGGCCCCTGTCCGGCCCTGGACGCCCGGATTAAATATTCTGATACTGTACATTTCTTCGTTTTGTCTTTCTGAATAACATACTGAAATATGTAAGTGGCAGGATCCCTAATGAGGAAGTTATAAAATATTGCTGGCCCCTGTCCGGCCCTGGACGCCCGGATTAAATATTCTGATACTGTACATTTCTTCGTTTTGTCTTTCCGAATGACATACGGAAATATGTAAGTGGCAGGATCCCTAATAAGAAAGTTATAAAATATTGCTGGCCCCTGTCCGGCCCTGGACGCCCGGATTAAATATTCTGATACTGTACATTTCTTCGTTTTATCTTTCTGAATAACATACTGAAATATGTAAGTGGCAGGATCCCTAATAAGAAAGTTATAAAATATTGCTGGCCCCTGTCCGGCCCTGGACGCCCGGATTAAATATTCTGATACTGTACATTTCCTCGTTCTGTCTTTCTGAATGACATACTGAAATATGTAAGTGGCAGGATCCCTAATTAGAAAGTTATCAAATATTGCTGGCCCCTGTCCGGCCCTGAACGCCCGGATTTGATATTCTGATACCGTTCATTTCTTCGTTTTGTCTTTCCGAATAACATACTGAAATATGTAAGTGGCAGGATTCCTAATAAGGAAGTTATAAATTATTGCTGGCCCCTGTCCGGCCCTGGACGCCCGGATTAAATATTCTGATACTGTAAATTTCCTCGTTTTGTCTTTCTGAATGACATACTGAAATATGTAAGTGGCAGGATCCCTAATAAGAAAGTTATAAAATATTGCTGGCTCCTGTCCGGCCCTGGACGCCCGGATTAAATATTCTGATACTGTACATTTCTTCGTTTTATCTTTCTGAATAACATACTGAAATATGTAAGTGGCAGGATCCCTAATAAGAAAGTTTTAAAATATTGCTGGCCCCTGTCCGGCCCTGGACGCCCGGATTAAATATTCTGATACTGTACATTTCTTCGTTTTATCTTTCTGAATAACATACTGAAATATGTAAGTGGCAGGATCCCTAATAAGAAAGTTATAAAATATTGCTGGCCCCTGTCCGGCCCTGGACGCCCGGATTAAATATTCTGATACTGTACATTTCCTCGTTTTGTCTTTCTGAATGACATACTGAAATATGTAAGTGGCAGGATCCCTAATAAGAAAGTTATAAAATATTGCTGGCCCCTGTCCGGCCCTGGACGCCCGGATTAAATATTCTGATACTGTACATTTCTTCGTTTTGTCTTTCTGAATAACATACTGAAATATGTAAGTGGCAGGATCCCTAATAAGAAAGTTATAAAATATTGCTGGCCCCTGTCCGGCCCTGGATACCCGGATTAAATATTCTGATACTGTACATGTCTTCGTTTTGTCTTTCTGAATAACATACTGAAATATGTAAGTGGCAGGATCCCTAATAAGAAAGTTATAAAATATTGCTGGCCCCTGTCCGGCCCTGGACGCCCGGATCAAATATCCTGATACTGTACATTTCTTCGTTTTGTCTTTCTGAATAACGTACTGAAATATGTAAGTGGCAGGATCCCTAATAAGGAAGTTATAAAATATTGCTGGCCCCTGTCCGGCCCTGGACGCCCGGATTAAATATTCTGATACTGTACATTTCTTCGTTTTGTCTTTCCGAATGACATACGGAAATATGTAAGTGGCAGGATCCCTAATAAGAAAGTTATAAAATATTGCTGGCCCCTGTCCGGCCCTGGACATCCGGAAAATCTGTTTCGATTAGTACATTTCTTCCTTGAGTATCCTCAATAAACATACTGGAAAATTGTTATCGCAGAATGCGTAACGGAAAAAATAAAAAATATTGCTGAACTTTATTGCTAAAGTAACTAGGCTACTTCCAGCTCCCATGTAAGTTTCAAAGTTTATTGATAACTACAACAACAACAACAACTACAAGTTCAAATTTTTAAATTCAAGAGCTACATCATAATATTGTCTTTTCAGATTTGCCTTTGGAGCATCTACTTCTCCTGAAAGAAAAAAATGAAGGTGTACATTCTGGGCGACGCAGATATTCATATTTAATGAAAAAATTCGTCCTAACATTGTACTTTTATTCACTTCTTATTCACCTCTCATTCACCACCTTCTAATAGTAAAATGTTCATGGAAAAATCGGCACTCTTAAAAATTAGGCTTAGGCTAAGGTACTTGATACCATTCAAGAACCTCTTTTCAAATTTCTTCTATCGTTTTTCTATTTCTTCTGATAGTGCTGGGACATTGAGCTGCGCTCACCCTGTACAATATATTATGACTTTTGAATGAAAACATATAATTTCAATTTAGTATTCATTTGCCTTCCTAATCCTGTAAGAAAAAAAATGGAATTTCACTTTTGAGTCAATAAAAAAATCAATAATTATTTTCAAATACAAATTGATTGCAACATTATCCTTTTTCCTAAATGAATATTTATATTTAATCACATATACTCTTGAATAGAAGCAAAAAACAAGAAAATATTTCAGATAAATGCGAACGCTTCCCGTTAGCCAACATGAGATAGACAGAGATAGTGTCGCAGTATTGTTATTTTATAATGCTATTGTAGTTCACACTGTACATAGATTAACGACTCTATCATCATTAGATAGCGGAAGAAAAAGTTGAATTTGTTATAAAAAAAAGAATTAATGTCAAGTTGATTGAAAATAAAGAAAGAAAAGTCAGTCGCATATTTTCTTGATAAAAAATACATTGAAATCAGTATTTTACATGGTCCTTCGAGCCGGATAGAAACAACGTGGTTAATCGACAGTCTGTTTAGTAAAGTTGATTGAAAATAAAGAAAGAAAAGTCAGTCGCATATTTTCTTGATAAAAAATACATTGAAATCAGTATTTTACATGGTCCTTTGAGCTAAATAGAAACAACGTGGTTAATCGACAGTCTGTTTAGTAAAGTTGATTGAAAATAAAGAAAGAAAAGTCAGTCGCATATTTTCTTGATAAAAAATACATTGAAATCAGTATTTTACATGGTCCTTTAAGCTAAATAGAAACAACGTGGTTAATCGACAGTCTGTTTAGTAAAGTTGATTGAAAATAAAGAATGAAAAGTCAGTCGCATATTTTCTTGATAAAAAATACATTGAAATCAGTATTTTACAGATAGGTATCCGTAATCACTGCGGGTTGCCTGAACAATATTTTTGCCTCACTCGTCGCTCACAGAGGATCCCTTCCAGGTATTTATATTGAGCTCATTGTCGATAACCGACCGAATGCCATGTTGCCATTCACGTCCCTATATGTAACGATTGGGCAAACGATATCTTTGTCACCCCTAAAGCATTTTAGATTTCCATTGACGATGAACTACCCAAACACGTTTGCACTGCTTGCGTAGAAACACTCGCGACTTGCTTCAAATTCCGATCAATTTGCCTAAAAAACGACAAAACCCAAAGGGAAGCCAGTGCAAATCGAGGGTTGAAAAGAAAACCCTTTAAAATACCCAAAAGAACAGTCAAAAGACTGCGTGAAGATTCCGACGACTCTGGCGAGGAGAACAGAGATCCGGAGCCAGCTCCTGAGCCTCCGAAGCCTCAGAAAAGCAAATCGGAGATCGACGCCAAGTTCGATAGAGTAGAAGAGGAACTCAGGAAGGTAAAGTTGAATTTGATGGAAGAGGAGAGAACTTTCTTCTCTCTCGTTCAAGGTAGAAAAGTGGTAAATTGGACATCTTTTCTGTCCAATTCCAGGTCTTGGAAGGGTCCCTCAGCGAAGAACAAGCTGCTTCGGAAAACATCATCATCCACATAGAAAACGACGAGGACAGCAACGAAAATGACACCCACGAAAATGACACCCAGGAAAATGACATTCCCGAAGTCATCCCTCCCTCTATCACGACCAGGAGGGTGTTTATACCGGGGGATGAGGATGAAGTGACTTCTTTGCCTAAAACTATCAGTTTGAGGCCGCAAAAGGCGGTTAATAGGACTTATGGGAGGACTTCTGTGGGGATGTATGATGGGGTTAATGTTTCGTTTGCTTTCGATACGAAATTTTGTTTGGTGGATGGGTTTTTGTTCGAGTATAGGCTGAAGACTAGTGACAGACGGTGAGTTATTATTTTCAACTTTAATTGCGGATAGGAAGATAATTTCAGCAGACCGAGGACAGCTGATGATGACTGGAGTGCCGAAACAGTAACATTATGAAAATTTCAATTTATTAGAATTGTTTCAAAATCTTTTGATTGTCATTGTAGCTGTCGCTGTGAATCAGCGAGTTGAGTAGATAGTTATCAGATTTGGTAAAAACTGCTCAATACTCGGGGTGTGATATTTTTTTCTCACTTTCTGAATGTTCGTTTCATCGATTTTCTAACCTATGGTGATGATTGTTGCATTTCTCTAAAATGAGATTCTACACTCTACAGGATGATAATCATAGCTGTGCAGTTTTTCAAAAATTTCATGAGCCTCGTTTTATTGGAAGGAAAATATTTCTAATTTTTCCTGAGGTGAAAAACATGGCGCATCATCTGCTTTTTCGGAACGGTTTTGGAATTTTTGGAATTGTCACACCACAGTAATTTGAATCTATCTAATATTATAAAGAGGAATGATATCATTGTTTGTTTGTATTGAATAGGCTCAGAAACTACTGGATCGATTTGGCTGAAAATTGATGAAGAGGTAGCTTAGAACCAGGAAAAGGTTACAGGACACTTTTTTATCCCGGTACCATTAGGAAATTCAAGATGGCGGATCTAATATATCGGAAGAGTTTTGTAATTATGGTCCGATTCCATTCAAAATTGGTACCTAGGGGTTTTCGTGATCGGGGATTATGATTCCTTCGTCGAAATCAAGAAATTCTAGATGGGGGATCCAAAATGGCGGATTTTGTAATTAGGATCCGATTTTATTCAAATTTGGTATCTGGTCGTTCTCGGGGTCGGAGATTATGATTCTTTCGTTAACATTAGGAAATTCAAGATGACGGAACCAATATGGCGGACGAGTAGTGTAATTATGATCCGACTCTCTTCAAAATTGTTATCTGGGTTTTTTCGGGCCGGAGATTATGATTCTTTTGTCAAAATTTGAAAAGGTCGGGGTTTGGAAATTCAAGACGGTGGAACCAATATACCAGACGAGTTCTGTAATTATATACCGATTCTATTCAAAATTTGTAAGTGGGCGTTTTCGGGATCAAAAATTATGAACCCTCCGTCAAAATAAGGGGAATTCAAGATGGTGGATCCAATTTTGCGGACGAGTTTTGTAATTATGTTCCGATTCTATTCAAAATTTTCATCTGGGGTTTTAGGAGTCGCTTATTATCATTCTTTCGTCAAAATTGGGAAAAAGATGTTGAAATAAATGGTAGTTTGAAAAACTAAAGAAACACGCTTTTATAGATAGTGAAACAAAAAAGAAGTAGAAAATAAAATAATAATAGTGTTTTGATGAATATTGAACTGAAAAAATATATTAAAAAAATAATGTATATATCAAAACGTTTGCGAGGTCTGCTAGTATTTTTATAAAATAATGCATAGATTGATTATCTAATTCCCGTTAGATGTGTGTTCTTGTCATTCCGGTTCAAACGATGGCCAAAAATGTCGAAATAATGCATGAGCAACATATTCATTGTTACAGGGCGGTCCTCAAATAACAATTAGTTCACTGCAGTAGCTTTTTGCTAAAAAATGGTATGCAGACATTATTCTTGAGGAGCTACTGATGTTTTGAAAAATTATACAAAATTGACACAGTTGATTTTTCAGGGAGATGAGATGTTTAACTCCAAATTGTCCGAGTTCTGGTTACCAGTGGAAAACGCAAGATGGAAAGTTTGCTCGAGAAGTAACCATTTTGAAACCACACAACCACAAAAGAGTAAATGTGGCCGAAAGAAAAAAGCAAATGTTTCATTACGTGATGAGAAAAAAAGTGCAGAGCGACAAGACTATAAATTTCAAAGGAGTGTACGAGGATGTTTGCCAATAGTAGGTTTCAATAATCATCACAAAACTGTCACAATAATATACAGAGAAGTGCACAAAAAACGGCCAGGACTGTAACTTCTAATTATTCGAGATAGGGTTTTCAAAATTGGTGGGTAGCAAGTATACCAAATTGCTCATCAATTGAATTGATGAAACAATTTTTCTTCTATCACTTTCACTTTCATCGGAAACTACCCCAACTTTTGATTTTCAACTGGGACACCCTGTATTCTATTCCATTATCGGTTAGGGATTATCATGACGAATTCAACGATATCGGGTTTGATAGGGTTATTTCAAACGATTACAAAGATATTTGCCTTCGAAGTTTCCATATGCTCAATGGGTGTGACTGCAATATCAAAACTTCTTTCTCTGTCACACTCATTGAGCATATTGAAACTAAGAACGCGAATATCTGCGTAATCGTTTGAAATAACCCTATTTAACCCGGTATCGATGAATTCGTTATGACAATCCCTAACGAATTATGGAATACAATACAGGGTGTCCCATTTAAGAATCAAAATTTGGGGTCGTTTTCAGTAAAACCGGAAGTGATAGAACAGAAATTTGGTATACTAGCTGCCCACCAATTTTCAAAATCCTATCTCGAATAATTCAAAAGTTACAGTCCTGGTCCTTTTTTGTGCACTTCTCTGTCCCAAGGGCATGTAATAGTTATTTATGTACCAAGGACGAAAAACTGTCTATTATAGTCGAGTATGTTAATTGATAGCCGAGGCTACTGGAATTGTCGTCCTCTGAAATATAGTGCCCCACAATTGAAGTGGGACACCTGAAATTTTCGCTCGAGTTTGTAAGATTATAACTTCGGAGAAAATGATCAGATTTCAATTCGGTTTCCAGAATTCAGAAGCTCATTCTATTGTCTCAAGACCCCTGTATTGGTCAGTATATGAAAATCAAGTGATCCAATCTTTCTATTGAGTACGCGGCTGTCAAAATACTCTCGTTACATTTATAGAACAAAAAACACTCAATTATTGACACATTCCACAAAAAAAATCATATTGTCGGGACAATGTGATCAATCAATAGAAATCGAAAACCATTCCGAGATATAGCATAACTACATGAAACATCAAGCAGAAAAATTTTTTTTTGACGGAATGGGGTGACCTCAAAGTCGATACAAGTTCACAGTGTACCATCAATCGCCCTGTACAATTTTAATTCATGATATTCTCAGTTCTTCAAATCCAACCGAATTGAAATTGGATCATTTTCTCAGAAGTTATGATCTTACAAACTCGAGTGAAAATTTCATGTGTCCCACTTCAATTGTGGGGCACTGTGGATCTATTACAAGTTTCATGAAAATTCTAGGAAATTACTGACAAGTTATTCATTATGCAATATAAAGTTTATCATATTGTAGCAACCCATGTGATAAGAAATGAATTACAACTCAATTTAATAAAATTTGATAGACATTCTTAGCCATTCCTATGAAGACATTCTTCTAAAATGATATTGAATTAGCACACATGAGTTGATTTCAGATTCTAGATTTTTCATCTTTTTTTTTTATTAATTAAACCGAAATATCTGGAGAAAACTGCATTCTTTTGCGGTCATCTGTGACTTGAGTCATTGCATGCAAAACTTACTATTATGTATAATACAACATAAAAAGTTTCTCAATGCATGGTAAACAACTTGTTAATGGTGAATATTTTTCCAGGGAACTCAGTACATACCTCACTACACACTGTTTGACCACTAACTAAACCGATTTTTTACACCTCGACACGTGTTTCGCTAACTATGTTAGCATCTTTGTTGAGGGATTTTCTTGAATCCTGTTATGTTTTTGATTTGCAGCTTTTTCTTGGGGTTTGGATTCGGTTTCATAAATAAATTCAAAGGATTAAGTAGAAAAACGTTTCGCCCATGGCCATGGGCTTTGTCAATTTATTAAATTTTTTTAGCTCTGTAAAATAATGGTTTACATTGTAGAGTGATAGTGATGAAACCTGAATCAAAAGAAGAGAGAGATAGCATCTTTAGAAGAAGGTTAAAACTAAATGCTCTATCCTAGTGGGCTACTTTTATACGAAGTATATGTCCACCCAAGCGTGAATAGACAAAAACCGCAAAGTTGATGTTATTCATGGTTGAGTTCACATGTTATATGACTAAACTATACAGAGGGCTAAATGGGATAGGTCCATTATCCTTATTCATTACCCTATTACTATTCTTAAATATCTCTAAGCTTTCATTGGCCATCTAATTTTCTAACATTATTAACTTGCTTAACTAGATAAAATAATACGAAGACATACATTTAAGTTATCACTCAGGAATTCTACGACTTTTCAAGCTGATAAAAACAATTCGAGAAAAATCCCAAAGACTTAGGTTTTGAAAGCGTTTATCAGTTTGGGTCAAAGTTAGGCAATTTATTAGGTAATCCAAAAGATAAGGTGGACACACTTGAAAAGTCAGGAATATACGAGATTAGTTTCAATGATTGTGATAAAACAAAATATATAGGCCAAACCAGGCGTCCCATAAAAACAAGATTCAAAGAACACTCAGCACATTTAAAATATGGTAGGTTAGATAAATCGTGTGTAGCCGAACACAATAAATGTTCAATCACAATCATAACACACATATTATTAACCTCAAATTAGTTGAGCAAGTTAATAATGTTAGGAAATTAGATGCCTATGAAATCTTAGAGATATTTGAGAATAGTGATAAAATGATGAATAAGGATAATGGACCTATCCCATTTAGCCCTCTGTATAGTTTTTATAGTGTATTATCGTGCCAAAGGTACCAGTCTTCGATATAGTACATACCAATTTCAGAGGATGCCGATTCCAGTGGCGTATGCAAATTTTTTCAAGGCCTTTGTTTAAAAAAAAAAGTGAACGTAGCTTTGCTCCAGAATATGCCTTTTCTTCCTCTTAAATAAAAAATCTATGGGGTTGGCCCGCTTTTGAGGTCACTCTGTCATTTTTCATTATTAGGTCTATATGAATTTTTTTTTCAGTGATCCAAAAATAAGAGACTTAGTGCCTCTCAGAGAGATCATCAACATAATCTGTAGGAATCCTCTATTACAAAGCGTACCTACAGTGCGTTCGTTTGAACACCTCTTCAACGAAATAGACAAAGAGGCTTTCGAAAAGTTCCAGTTCACTTTTAGCGGCAAACAATTTTTCCAAGAGAAAATAACAGCTTCGGATAATACCAAGGCTATCATTTTCGCTAACAGCCATTTTGTGGGCGAGATAATGGACAGCGAATTGATGTACGTGGATGCTTCGTTCAATATCGACACCAACGAGACGTTTTCCTATCAGTTGGTAACTGTGCTGATTTTGGTGGAGGACAATGTAAGTAGATTTTTTTAAATTTGACAGGTAATTTGACATTTTTCGAAACTGACGGATGTTTTGAAATGTCTTAACTTCACGTCAGCAGTTGCGTATAGTGAAATGATTCATAATTGGTGATGGAATGTTCATTTCAACACCTGATACGATATAAAAATATGGATGGACGCAGATAATAGTACATTTTTTTTGGGGACAGTTCTTGGGTTTTGGATTTGACACAATTGAAAATCAGGAATCGACTATCCCACTTGAAAAATTTGCGGAAAAACTTATATAGGACAAACTAGAAGACCTATCAGAACTAGTTTCAAGGAACACCCAGCACATTATAGCCGCGTATCTGTGTAATCCATCAGTTTTTTATCTGTTTCTGTTATTGAAATCTTCAAAAAAATATTCGGATACTTTCAATAAGACACATTGGCGCCCTATTACACCCGAGGCGAAACTTAATTAGACAAGCGGCAAGAAAATTTGCAAATTCTTTCAATAATTCCAATCCCAGCAAAATTTTGCAAATATCTATTCAAAATCAAGAGCATTGTCTGTGTTTCATCCAAATCTAGAGACGAATTTGACACTCAAAAATCAGAAATCGGCTAACTTAGTTGTAAAATGTTCTGAAAAACTTATGTGGCACAAACTAAGAGACCCATCAGGACTAGGTTCAAGGAACACACAGCACATTATAACCGAGTATCTGTGTAATCCATCAGCATTTCTTGTTTCAGTACTACCCCATCCTCTACACTCTGATAAACCGCAAATCTCATTAATCTACAAAAAAATATTCGGATATTTTCACGACACAAATTACGAGGCCGACCTCTATTATGCCCTATAAGATACCTATTCAGACTCTAGCATAGGCGGCTTTGTATTCTCTTACGCCACAAACATTTTCAAGAGAATTTGCAAGTTCTTTCAATCATCCCAATCTCAGCAAAATTGAGAAAATATCTATACAAAATTAAGAACAATGCTGATTATTATCAGTCTGCGTTTCATCCACATCAAAAGACGAATTTGACATACTCAAAAATCAGGAATCTGTTAACTTTTGTTGATGTAAATTTTCTGAAAAACTTATGTAGGACAAACTAGGAGACCCATCAGAACTAGGTTCAAGGAACACACAGCAAATTATAATCGAGTATCTGTGTAATCCATCAGCAATTTTTTTGTTACAGTACTACCCCATTCTCTACGCTCTGATAAACCGAAAATCTCAAGAAATCTACAAAAAAATATTCGGATACCTTCACGACACTTTGGCGCCCAACTTACGGCCCGACGAAATCGTCACAAATTACGAGGCCTACCTCTATTATGCCCTAAGAGAAACCTATTCAGGCTCTAGCATAGGCGGCTTTGTATTCTCTTACGCCACAAACATTTACAAGAGAATTTGCAAATTCTTTCAATCATCCCAATCCCAGCAAAATTGAAAAAATATCTATTCAAAATTAAGAACAATGTTGATAGTAAATTTTCTGAAAAACTTATGTAGGTCAAACTAGGAGACCCATCAGCACTAGGTTCAAGGAACACACAGCACATTATAACCGAGTATCTGTGTAATCCATCAGCATTTTTTTGTTACAGTACTACCCCATCCTCTACGCTCTGATAAACCGCAAATCTCAAGAAATCTACAAAAAAATATTCGGATACCTTCACGACACTTTGGCGCCCAACTTACGGCCCGACGAAATCGTCACAGATTACGAGGCCGACCTCTATTATGCCCTAAGAGAAACCTATTCAGACTCTAGCATAGGCGGCTTTGTATTCTCTTACGCCACAAACATTTACAAGAGAATTTGCAAATTCTTTCAATCATCCCAATCCCAGCAAAATTGAGAAAATATCTATTCAAAATCAAGAACAATGTTGATAGTAAATTTTCTGAAAAACTTATGTAGGTCAAACTAGGAGACCCATCAGCACTAGGTTCAAGGAACACAGCACATTATAACCGTGTATCTGTGTAATCCATCAGAATTTTTTTTGTTACAGTACTACCCCATCCTCTACGCTCTGATAAACCGCAAATCTCAAGAAATCTACAAAAAAATATTCGGATACCTTCACGACACTTTGGCGCCCAACTTACGGCCCGACGAAATCGTCACAGATTACGAGGCCGACCTCTATTACGCCCTAGGAGAAACTTATTTAGACTCTAGCATAGGCGGCTCTGTGTTCTTCTACGCCAAAAACATTTACAAAAAAATTTGCACGCTGCATTTGGCAAAAGATTTGGAGAACAACTCGTCCTTCAGGACTATTTATCACATGCTGGTGATGCTCCCGCTTTTGCCTGTCAACACCATCGTTGACGGCTTGTCAAACATCGAAACCCAAGCTAAAGGCTTGGGTTTGCACGATTTAACCAAGGACGTTTTCGAGCATATTCAGTCCGAGTGGATCACCAAGGTCACTCCTGATCTGTTCTGCGTTCACAGACTCGAAAATAGGATACATGAGAACGTTATGTCCCCTTTCAAGAAGCTCAGAGACCTTTTGACATTGTCCAAAGGAAAGCTGCAGAAGCAGAACCTAACTATTGTCTCCGTGCTCAATAAAATCATGGACTTGGAGCACTTTACCCTGACGATGTTTAACGCTCCTTCGAAGAAAGCCTTCATCAGAAACCTGAGCTGTTCTCAGAAAAGAAACGTTTTAAGAGCGTGGCAGTACATTGAGACCCATCCCAAAATAAACATCAACAATTTTTTCACCAAAGTTGTGGGGTACATCAAGAGTATGGAGAACCAGCTGTGGATTTGGGGGTACTACAGGTACGGGGGGGAGTTTAATGAGGGGTTGATAAACGCGACGAATTTCTCCATAGTGTCAAGTAATGTGGATATTGTTGCTGAGAAAGATGATGGCATGGAGTATGTAGAGGAGTTTGGAGAAGAGTTGGAGGATGATGAGGAGAGGGTTTCGCCGATTATTATGGAGGCTGTAATTACGGAGAATGGGGGTGTTGATTATGTGTTGCAGAATAGTGGTTATAAAAAATAATTAACAAATAAATTTTTTTTATAAAGTTGGCTCGTTTTTCTTTACAGTATCGGAACCATCCATTAAACAAAAGTAGTTGCGCCGAGTTTCGAACTAAAATAATGAGAGTTTCATGTTGATAACATTAAAAATGGGGAGAATTGAAGGAGACCATTGTAACCTTTATTTTGGGGTTAGAATGGACTTCTTCTGTATTTCTTCTCTTTTCTTTGGTGTTATCAGAATGAAATTTTCTTACACGTCCTTGCCTGTCTGCACATCATTGGCGGCTTGTCAAACATCGAAACCCAAGCTAAAGGCTTGGGTTTGCACGATTTAACCAAGGATGTTTTCGAGCATATTCAGACCAAGTGGATCACCAAGGTCACTCCTGATCTTTTCTGCGTTCACAGACTCGAAAATAGGATACATGAGAACGTTATGTCTCCTTTCAAGAAGCTAAGAGACCTCTTGACATTGTCCAAAGGGAAGCTGCAGAAGCAGAACCTAACTATTGTCTCCGTGCTCAATAAAATCATGGAATTGGAGCACTTTACCCTGACGATGTTTAACGCTCCTTCTAAGAAAGCCTTCATCAGAAACCTGAGCTGTTCTCAGAAAAGAAACGTTTTAAGAGCGTGGCAGTACATTGAGACCCATCCCAAAATAAACATCAACAATTTTTTCACCAAAGTGGGGTACATCAAGAGTATGGAGAACCAGCTGTGGATTTGGGGGTACTATAGGTACGGGGGGGAGTTTAATGAGGGGTTGATAAACGCGACGAATTTCTCCATAGTGTCAAGTAATGTGGATATTGTTGCTGAGAAGGATGATGGCATGGAGTATGTAGAGGAGTTTGGAGAAGAGTTGGAGGATGATGAGGAGAGGGTTTCGCCGATTATTATGGAGGCTGTTATTACTGAGAATGGGGGTGTTGATTATGTGTTGCAGAATAGTGGTTATAAAAAATAATCAACGAATAAATCTTTTTTATAAAGTTGGCTCGTTTTTCTCTACAGTATCGGAACCTTCCATTAAACAAAAGTAGTTGCGCCAAGTTTCAACCTAAAATAATGAGAGTTTCAAGTTGGTAACATTGAAAATCAGGGAAAATGAAGAAGGAGACCGTTGTAACCTTCTTTATATTGGGGTTAGAATGAACTTCTACTGTATTTCTTCTCTTTTCTTTGGTGTTACCAGAATGAGATTTTCATCATTACACGTCTTTGCCTGTCAACACATCATTGGCGACTTGTCAATCACCGAAACCCAAGCTAAAGGCTTGGGTTTGCACGATTTAACCAAGGATGTTTTCGAGCATATTCAGTCCGAGTGGATCACCAAGGTCACTCCTGATCTTTTCTGCGTTCACAGACTCGAAAATAGGATACATGAGAACGTTATGTCCCCTTTCAAGAAGCTCAGAGACCTTTTGACATTGTCCAAAGGAAAGCTGCAGAAGCAGAACCTAACTATTGTCTCCGTGCTTAATAAGATCATGGATTTGGAGCACTTTACCCTGACGATGTTCAACGCTCCTTCTAAAAAAGCCTTCATCAGGAACCTGAGCTGTTCTCAGAAAAGAAACGTTTTAAGAGCGTGGCAATACATCGAGACCCACCCCAAAATAAAACATTAACAATTTTTTCACCAAAGTTGTGGGGTATATCAAGAGTATGGAGAACCAGCTGTGGATTTGGGGGTACTACAGGTACGGGGGGGAGTTCAATGAGGGGCTGATAAACGCGACGAATTTCTCCATAGTGTCAAGTAATGTGGATATTGTTGCTGAGAAGGATGATGGCATGGAATATGTAGAGGAGTTTGGAGAAGAGTTGGAGGATGATGAGGAGAGGGTTTCGCCGATTATTATGGAGGCTGTCATTACGGAGAATGGGGGTGTTGATTATGTGTTGCAGAATAGTGGTTATAAAAAATAATTGACGAATAAATTTTTTTTATAAAGTTGGCTCGTTTTTCTCTACAGTATCGGAACCTTCCATTAAACAAAAGTAGTTGCGCCAAGTTTCAACCTAAAATAATGAGAGTTTCAAGTTGGTTACATTGAAAATCAGGGAAAATGAAGAAGGAGACCGTTGTAACCTTCTTTATATTGGGGTTAGAATGAACTTCTTCTGTATTTTTCTCTTTTCTTTGGTGTTACCAGAATGAGATTTTCATCATTATACGTCTTCGCCTGTCAACACATCATTGGCGAAGCTCGGGTTTGTACGATTTAACCAAGGATGTTTTTGAGCATATTCAGTTCGAGTGGATCACCAAGGTCACTCCTTATCTTTTCTGCGTTCAGAGACCTTTTGGCATTGTCCAAAGGCAAGCTGTAGAAGCAGAACCTAACTATATTGTCTCCGTGCTCAATAAAATCATGGACTTGGAGCACTTAATTTACCCTGACGATGTTTAAGGCTCCTTCTAAGAAAGCCTTCATTAGAAACCTGAGCTGTTCTCAGAAAAGAAACGTTTCACGGGCCTGGCAGTACATTGAGACCCACCTCAAAATAAACATCAACAATTTTTTCACCAAAGTTGTGGGGTACATCAAGAGTATGGAGAACCAGCTGTGGATTTGGGGGTATTACAGGTACGGGGGGGAGTTTAATGAGGGGTTGATAAACGCGACGAATTTCTCCATAGTGTCAAGTAATGTGGATATTGTTGCTGAGAAGGATGATGGCATGGAGTATGTAGAGGAGTTTGGAGAAGAGTTGGAGGATGATGAGGAGAGGGTTTCGCCGATTATTATGGAGGCTGTAATTACGGAGAATGGGGGTGTTGATTATGTGTTGCAGAATAGTGGTTATAAAAAATAATTAACGAATAAATTTTTTTTATAAAGTTGGCTCGTTTTTCTCTACAGTATCGGAACCTTCCATTAAACAAAAGTAGTTGCGCCAAGTTTCAACCTAAAATAATGAAAGTTTCAAGTTGGTAACATTGAAAATCAGGGAAAACGAAGGAGACCGTTGTAACCTTCTTTATATTGGGGTTAGAATGAACTTCTTCTGTATTTCTTCTCTTTTCTTTGGTGTTACCAGAATGAGATTTTCATCATTACACGTCTTTGCCTGTCAACACCATCGTTGACGGCTTGTCAAACATCGAAACCCAAGCTAAAGGCTTGGGTTTGCACGATTTAACCAAGGATGTTTTCGAGCATATTCAGTCCGAGTGGATCACCAAGGTCACTCCTGATCTGTTCTGCGTTCACAGACTCGAAAATAGGATACATGAGAATGTCATGTCTCCTTTCAAGAAGCTCAGAGACCTTTTGACATTGTCTAAAGGAAAGCTGCAGAAGCAGAACCTAACTATTGTCTCCGTACTCAATAAAATCATGGACTTGGAGCACTTTACCCTCACGATGTTCAACGCTCCTTCTAAGAAAGCCTTCATCAGAAACCTGAGCTGTTCTCAGAAAAGAAACGTTTTAAGAGCGTGGCAGTACATTGAGACTCATCCCAAAATAAACATCAACAATTTTTTCACCAAAGTTGTGGGGTACATCAAGAGTATGGAGAACCAGCTGTGGATTTGGGGGTACTACAGGTACGGGGGGGAGTTTAATGAGGGGTTGATAAACGCGACGAATTTCTCCATAGTGTCGAGTAATGTGGATATTGTTGCTGAGAAGGATGATGGCATGGAGTATGTGGAGGAGTTTGGAGAAGAGTTGGAGGATGATGAGGAGAGGGTTTCGCCGATTATTATGGAGGCTGTTATTACGGAGAATGGAGGTGTTGATTATGTGTTGCAGAATAGTGGTTATAAAAAATAATTAACGAATAAATTTTTTTTATAAAGTTGGCTCGTTTTTCTCTACAGTATCGGAACCTTCCATTAAACAAAAGTAGTTGCGCCAAGTTTCAACCTAAAATAATGAGAGTTTCATGTTGATAACATTAAAAATGAGGAGAAATGAAGGACACCATTGTAACCTTCTTCATATTGGGGTTAGAATGGACTTCTTCTGTATTTCTTCTCTTTTCTTTGGTGTTATCAGAATGACATTGTTTTTACGTTGGGACAAAAGAAGAAGCTTGCTGAACTTCTTCATTTATATCTGATAGACTGAAAACTTATCAATGCAGTGTTCGAGGCGTGATAAACAAGAGAATCAGTATAGTTTCTCGCTACCTCTATAAGGATTTCCTGTCGTTCGCACCAAGCGATAAAAAACCCAAGCACAGATTTTTGAATATTCGCGATCTACAATTTACGCTTTTATAATAAAACGGTTAGTATTGGATTTTTTAAATTTTCGGAGGTTATACCACTACTTTTGGTAGAGTTGTACCACATTTCTCCAAAAACTTGAATACAGGGTGTTCTTGGTGTACTCAACAAGAAAATAAACTTGAGATTTCGTGATTTTCTGTACCTACCTGGCTAATCACTCAAATTCTCATATCACATTGAGAAATGTAGTAGTAGTAGTAGTTTTGGCAAAAACTCGAAAACGTCCCGAGGTATGGTTGCTATTTATGAAATGCCTGAATAAAATATGAGCATCGTGGTCTTCCGACAAAATGGGGAGAAATTTTTTTCAAAATGCACGAAACTTTGTTTCACCCTGTATCATGGGTCCTGATCAATTTAGAAGAAGCTGTAAGGAACGGTTCGAAAGACGATGAAAAAGGCATTCAGAATCTGTGCGGCAATTCAAAATTCGTTCAATATTTTAGAAATTACGAGAAGTCAAACTTGATGCCAAATTTCACTATTTACGTTTCAATTGACGCCCAGTTTAGTTTCCTTACATCAAATAAACCTGCTTCTGCATATAGCGATGGTAGTAGGATATCTGCGATTTTTTTTTTAAATAATTGTTAATAAAGTATTTTGAATAACTTGAATATTATTCAGAATGATTGAAATGTATTGCTAGTGGTGAAACAAATGTAATATACACCTTGGTAGTTTGTAAAAACTTCACAAACGATAAGATTTCCACAAAATTCTCAAACACACGACATGTTTTGCTTACACAGTAGCTTCATCAGGTGATATACCTACTGAGGTACAATGAACCATCATTTGTCATGAATTTCCATCAAGTACCTAACCGAGTCGGTTAAAAAGAAACACCTTAGTAGTATACCCCTCGGCTGAAACCTTGGAATACAATCTTGGTCCCTGAGTAATACTGATATTCTTTACTACCTTGGTGTATAAATAACTATTATTTATTATTCACTTTTTCTCGATGTAGCTGAATGATGAATGACAAAATGCAACTAGTTTTCCAAATAAACGTTTATTTTCAGAAACGATATACAATTACATGATACACAGTCTACATTAAAGGTCTGAACTACTCAGAATACATTAGTGCGGAATAGTACAGGGGTCCAGATCAAAAAAATAACCTTTAACCAAAAGTCAATGTCAAATTATGGTTCGATCTGGTCCAACAGGTATGAGATGGTTCTGTCGATTTTAAATATCAACCTAGATGACTCAATAGTCTGTCATGGAAAACACGAATATACACAGTGAGAAAATATTAGATAATTGTAACGTCATCGAACATGAATAATAGATCTTCAAGTAAAAAATTGTCAATAATTCAACTTTTTCCCAATATGTTACGAACTTTATGTATGAAACTGTATATTTTTCCCAGAAACGTATGAACGAAAATTCGTTCGTCACTATAAATGGTATTACCGTAAAATGATAATTGATATCCGTATCATGAATTTTAACCCTTGAATGATTCGCGTCGAAGTACCTCAAGGTTCTGTGTTTGGGCCAATCATTTATCTGCTCTACATAAATCCCCAAGATTCGTGAATATCCATTATTTCCACATACCAGAATACCGAAATCGCTAGGCGTTGCATTTTCGAAAGAACCACCCCATACGAATCTGTGATTGTAAAAAAACAATCGCCTGTTAGAAGCCACATTTTCTTGACAGGGGATTGGTGGGCCCAACAGCATAGACACGTCAAACGTGAACCAATGCTGTGACTGTCCAGTTTCAATCACCTGTATACCCTTCATGTACGATACCACACAATGAATGAATATTTCAATTAGACGGAGGTTCAACTTTCAACTACACTTTGAAATTTGACAGGTGACAGCGAAAATTTGGTGAAAAATTTTACAGCGAAAAAAGTCGAACCTGTATGTCTGATATATCGCAAAACGAAATCATACAGGGGGCTTCACCAATCCAACAGCTGGTTAGCTGTGACCGACAATCGCCTGCCATACTACGAGGTCCGTCAGAGTGCAAAACAATTGGTAGACGGCAAAACTCAGTGCAGCGTTCTCTAATCGAAAAAGTGGATTGCATGAAATTTAAGCCAGTTTCAACTTGCGGCGTCTAGAACACGACCTGACGTTACGATAATATGTACAAGTACTGAATAACACGGCATCGTACCGCTCAGAAATCAACATTGGTGTGCCACAGGGCTCGGTATTGGGGCCAATACTTTTTATAATGTAACGTCAACGACTAGACCAGAGCAAATGGACTATTTCTCAATGTTGAGGAAACGAATGCAATTAGATTTCACAATCCCCAAAAAAATTGTGATAAGATCATTCCACAAGTCAATGAATCTTCAGGTCCAATTTCTACAGACACAAGTAATGTGAAATTTCTGGGGCTCTATATCGACGAATGCTTTGATTGGCATAAAAACTCTGAAATACTGAAATCCAAACAACTCATTTTCATATCAATTCAGAAATCTGAAGAACGTTCTCAACAGGGTACAATTATTGAATTTATATTATAGTCAAATTGAAAGCCGCCTTCGTTACGGTATTTCCGCACAAGATATTTTTATTGCACAAAAAACGCGTTGTTCGTTCTTTAGTAGGTGTATCCAAGAGGACATGTGACATTTCTGAGAAATTTTGACACTACCATCATTACTCATTCTAGAATCATGTCTATATGTATTTCACAATGAAGAAAAATTTCAAACGAACATGTTCCGCCATGGAGTCAATACTAGACAGAAATATGATTTTTATATCCCTTTCAGTAGGTTGAACGTAACGAAAAATTCGCCCAATATCACAACAAAAATTTTCAACGCTCCACCTAATGAAATAAAACTATTTAAGACCTCAAACTGTTTTAAAAGATCTCTTAGAGTGTTGTTAGAGGAACATTCGTATTACTCCGTCGATGAATATTTTTCTCAAGTATTTTAATTCAAATCTGACGTTTTATACATACTGTTTTGATTTGTGATTTTGATTATTACCTACAATACCAACTATCATATCATACTTATCAAGTGTGATACTATTTTACTATTGTTGTTTTACATGTACTATTGTATTGTATTGTCCATGTTCATTTTTGTGTTGTTTTGTATTATATTCAGATGAAAGTTTACCCACTTGACTATTCCTATACAATTTTTTTGCAATTGTCTACTGGAAAATTGAATAAATGAAAGTGGGCGGATCCTCAAACTCTCCGCGTGACGTCATACGATCGCCACAACAAATGAAACTTTATCAATATCAGCACAGTAGGTCTTTCTATGATCTCTTTTTAGGAGCTCTGTTAAAAAGTATGTCTATACTTGTGAAGGAGCTGGATCCTCTGGAATCTCATTTTAGATCGTCCGTCAGCCATTTTCACGTTGTTTGTGTTTAGTGTATGGTGCAGAATGCGTATGTGGTCGATGTTAAAATTCAAGAGGTTTATCTGTACGTGATTGATGGTATTTTTGAAAAGTTAGCAAGTTGAAAATTGACAAAATTTCAAAAAATCATATTCATTTCTTGACAATCCAGTGTTCATTGAACTTCACTGCAATGATTTTTGCAAGTCACAACCATTTCGACCTAATCCGCTCATGTTTACTATATCTAATACAGTATGTTATGTCATCAAGAAACAAATTCTTCGAATCAACAATTTACAGTGTCTTAAGAAACCCAAATGCTGAATGTTTTTCAACTATGCGGATGAGGTTACGATTTAAAATAAATCTTTTGAGGTTATTTTAGGTACGGTCTCTCTGTTTTGGCATATAATCATCAAATAAAACAATCTGAAATATGACTGCTAAATATGGAAGAAAAATCGTTTTATAGTTTAAATCAAAATGGTGATTGTGTGTGGCAAGTTTCAATTGATGATTAGAAGATTTGTCATCACGATTAATATTCATACTGCATCAATATAGTCAAGCAGAAAGAGGACTATTAAATATTTATATATATAGGTTTTCCCATTCACCATTATTTATCAGATATAATAAATCGTCATACCTTTTTTCACATATCATTTTCTTAATCGACGCCTCGACATATCTACTCGATATAGATTATTATTCCATACATAATTTTCTAGGGCCTACCTTTTTTTGGATTTAGATTACATTGGTGATTGCATAATAATTACCTGAATCACTGATTTCAATTGAATCTAATTTATTGACTCACGATACTTGAAGCAAGTTTAGACATTAGTTGAAAGGCTTCAGTTTTACAAATTTGCTAGACAATGATACAAAATATGTATAATGTTGCTTACCTTCGAATAGAACAATTTATTAAATATATTATTTAAAAATAATGCAATGTACGAACCTTGAAATTTTATCGTGATAAAAATATTGAGGTCAGGTAAGGTTAGGTCCAGAACCAATGATTCCAGTTTAATATCTTAGATATATTACCCGGTAAATTGATAATTGTTATGATAAGTCAAGATAATGAAAGAGGTAATTTCTCGAAAAATATCAACTTTATTGAAAATTGGCGCAGTCGGTAGGAACCGTAAAAATCACATGACTTCAATATTTTCTCACGGTATCCTTAATCACCATGTATCGATGATCCTGTTAATATTCGTGCTCTAATAGAAAAAAAAAACTGTTATGGACAAACCTTTTCTTCATTGAGAACAGAAGGTACTTGCTTAGTCATAAATGTAAAAGAAAAAAATGTTACATACCGTTGCGGCAGGTATTACGATTTGGTTTGTTCTTTTTTAAACCTGTCAAAATAAAATAATGTAAATACAAATTGCTAAGGGAATGAAACGATATTTTTCATCACCATGCAAAATGTGAAAAGTAAATATAAAAAAACAAATAAAAAGTTTTGAATCTTAATAAGTGGTTACTATTGAACTTTGCGATTAGTTTCAACTAGATGAATATCTTCGAAGTTTACTCGAAAAAAAAAAAGAACATATTTTTAGACTTGCGGATGATATACGAGGTAAATCGGAGATCATCTAAAACGTGGTTGCATCAAGACAGGTCCTGTGGGAAACATGGGTGCACCATAAACCATACCAGGCGGCATACCCAGCATACCTAATAACAAAAAAGGAAATTCAACTTGCATGATACGACTAAATGAAGTACGACACAAAAGTTTTGGAACATTGTCATTTTTTTCTTTCACTTCATCTCTATCCCGACTCATCTAACACAGTGTCCGAAAAGTCTTCAATTTGCCAGGTGGCTATGGATCGTGATACGTAGTAGAGAGTGCCCAAATTCGCCCATTACTTATAGTTTCTCATATGTCCGCATACGTTTTCTGATTGATATTAAATGCAGTTTGTGTACGTTTCTGTGAGTTTCATCGAAATAGCTATTGTTTCGATCTATTGTTTACGATAACAATGAACTTCAAGACTTATTTTATCTTCAAGAAGTTACCTGACACCATGGATGGAAACAGTAGAAACTTATAGATTTTCGTATGCCCGAATACGATGTTGATTGCTATCCTTCTATCACTAGATTTTTATATTGGTGCAAGTGGAAATTATTTAGTGTTTTTACGCCGTTTGTAGTAGCAGTAGATCTGAGTTGGTTGCCTATATTTTTCTGTGAGTTTGATCAACATAGCTTACTAATGCCTTATGTTATTGGTTTACGAAAATGGACTTTGAGACTTTTTTATCTTATAACAAGAACTGGAAAAAATGTATTCAAGGAGATTACTCAACACTTCAGATGGAAACGGAAACACTAGAAACTTATAGATTCTCATATGACCGCATACGTTGATGGTTGCTTTCCTTCACAAGATTTCGATATTGGTGCAAGTGAAAGTTATTCAGTGTGTAATAAAAATGGAATATTTTTGCTCATGACGGGAATGTGAAGAGATTTCTCTCAAGAAAATACTTGATACCACGAATCAAGCATACATAGCTGATACTGCGATGTTTTTTCTCAATATTGCTTTGCATACATTACGAAAACAAAATGGAGGCTATGTTTTGACACTTCTCTATTACAATCCATAAGCAACTAGCTTTCAGACTTTCCGAGATAGATACTTACCCAAATGAACAAAATATGAAATGAAAAAAAATAAGGAAGCCTAGCATAGGACATACAGCTATCAGATAACTAAAAAACATGTTGGAGAAGTGATTATTTCGTAGATTTGACAGCTAATCTCGTCAAAACTAATAGACAGTACTAAAAGTGGAAATGACCGTGGGATTTACATGAAGCACACAGACAGAGATATGAAATATAAGGTATGTTCACTCTAAATGCTGCTCTTAATGCAAACTTCCAGTGTTTGAAGTGGATACATTGAATACGAGGAAAAAAATGACAATATCCAAAAGCTACACGAACTGATAGTAGTCGAATGTATTAGTGAATCAAAAAATATGTATACGGCAAATATATAATAGATTACTCAGAATGGTAAATGCAATAAACGACTGTAAAACCAACCACTGCCAAAAAAACTAAGCAAGTGACAAATATTCGATGCAGGCATGCCAACACTTAAGTGCGTGATTAGTACCTGGGCAAAAATGTCGAAATGGCACCCAATTCATTGTCGGCAGTTAGCTATCACTGGTGAATTACTCGGTAGTAAAAAACATTAAAGCACTGACCAGTAACATATACGCACTACCAAAAATTCACTATAGGTTGAATTAATTTTTTGCTTCTGAATCATGGGTCCGGTTCACATATATCTGAATGGGATAGTTTCCTATATTCAGATTTTAATTTCTCCCTGAAGTTATGGCATACTTATCATTAATTTTTTTCCATAGGCCTATATTTTTCTTCAGAAAGAAATGTGAAGAATCAGTTCTGGCTCTTTCGCTATTTTTTGTGCTATCGCGACTTTGATGTTTCGGTATCAGCTTATATGTTTGGGTATTCAAAAATTCTGTACTGACTACAATGAGACTGGACTCTATTATTATTGGATAGGTATTGTCATGGGTAGAATGAGTCCTGATTAGTCGAAAAGTATGAACCATTTTATTCACGATATTAAAGTAGTTCAGATGCCTGAAACCGATATACGGTGCTTTTCTTTAATGTCCCCCCTTTTATTTTTTGAACGAGTCAACTCAAAGAATTGAAACTTGGCATAATGAAATTTATGCATGAATACTACATTTTGGAGTAAAATTAAGTTAAATTTCAATATGGCGGCTGGACACCATCTGAGCAAAATAAAACGAAAGAGACATCTTTTTGAAGCCCCTGACGAATTCTTCACAACCCTAGAATGTAAGTCAATATCTTCACTAAAAAACTACAAAATGGCGGGACATTCAATAATTGCCTGAATACATCGACGTTATATATACTTTCAGCATCGTACCTTCTGCTTCAAAAATAGCTCCATAAAAAATCTAGTATCAAATCTGGAAAGCAACGACCGGGGAAAGTATTATCCAAATAATTTCTTACTTGTCTGGAGAAATATGGTGGTGCTCCATCTTGTTGCAATACAATATCCATATCAAATTCATTCTTCGACCATTTTGGTGATTGAAGGGGAGCAGTATTTTTCAACATATTCAAATACAGTTATCCTGTTAATCTTTCTTCAATGAATAGATATTAATGTTTCTGAATTCAGGCAACCAACTATGTTCCGCCATTTTGTAGTAGGTGAAGATCCCCTATCTATTAATTTTTTTCCCAGATGGCGCCCTATCGTCATATTGAAATTTCCATCTGACAATTTTACGCCAAAATGGTATTCATGTATTTATTTCATTATCACAAGTTTCAATCTTTTGAGTTGACAAGTTCAAAAAATAAATGGAGGGGGGACGTTAAAGAAAAGCACTGTATATTGCATTATTATCCAGATAGCTACTCAAAGTTGAATTAATAGAATCAAACTTGAGAGTTTTCGGAGTTTATTATTTATACCTGTAACTGGTTCACAGCAAGCCCCCCCGGATAAGTCGATGAGAATTCATCAGAAAAAAAAACTTTCCCATTGTATGGATACGGTTCAGGATCGCCATTTGAGAACACAGGAGATTCAGCAACAAAAAATAATGTCAACCTATAATAAATTCTCCATGGTTCCTCAATTTTGCTTTTCAGCGTAGTTCTACATCGAAAAAATTCAAGAAAATTTCACCGCCATCACGCACGTTCAGTGAAAAACTCATTTTGTTCTCTTTGAAATCGCACAACAACTATCTATATTATAAGGATAGGGCATATGTCAAATGATACCTTATTATAATCAACTAGATTTATTCTGTTAAAATAAAGTTTATCCAGTATATAGAAATTCACCTTTCTCTCTATCAACCACTTTGATTTGAACAGCACTAAAGCAAATTGAAAGGTTATTACTAGAGATGGGCACGCTCTACATGGCCGTGCAAAGGGGGGGTTTGGGGGGGTCCAGACCCCCCTCGAAATGATGGCCTTATTCCGACTTTTTTCCGTTAGCTGGACCAAAATTTTTGAATTAGCTGTTCTTTTTTTCTTGCCCCCCCCCTGAAAAAAACCTAGGCACGGCCTTGAGACTCTATGAAACTGAAAAAGTAACCATCTCTAATATGATATCACAGAACTAAACTTCTTATCTCTAAAATTCATTGTAAAACAATTTGTCAGTCGAAAAACAGGTGCTCTATAGAACTAATAACTAGCAAGGTGATTAGGAAGGAAATAGCAAACCTCTACATTTTATGTGGCATTGAAGAAGTTAGGGCATATGTTCATATGACATTTTCTTCTTAAATGAGCTAAAGAACCATATCCCATATTTTTAGACATCAATTAAATGATTTTTTGATTATTTTTCATCGAACACTAAAATTCCCTCCGCAATCACCCTGTATAAAAATGCCTCTCTGTATGGAATGTGATAAAAGTGTTAATACATTTGAACGGAAAACGAAAAAAATTATGAAACATAAATAGAAATAATGATGTCTCCTTATCAATGAAAAATATCAAAAATATCTGTAATGATTTTCGAACTACTCAAATAAAATGTTATTACATATTTTTTGGAGTGAAGAATTATTGTAGTTATTCCAGTAATTGAACGACGTGAACCTAGATATAACAATTCCCGCTGATGAATCCGAAATCTTCAGTCTTTTACAAAAAGCATGTACCGAACCTTCACACCAAAATCATAATCAATACTTGTCAATCGTTCACAAATAAACTCTTCTCACACATTGGCACGCGGAAGACACATGGATTTTGTAAGGCCATTGGTGATCCGTTCGATAGGGCGTGTGCATCGTGCCTTCCGGTCAAGGTTCCATGCCGTTCTTCGCGACCGCATTCCCGATCCAAATCGAATTCCACGAATACTCGGTATACCTTCACTATCGCAAACACATGGAGAAATAATTTTCCAGGCGTTCAATTCGATGTTCTTGGCATTTTAGGGTATTCAATTCTAAGAATCATTTTATTTTTCTTCATAATCACCCATATAAGATGGTTGTCGTTCAAGAATTGAAGTCACGTGATTTTGTACTCGCTAGTGAAAACATTTGGTACCTAGCAATTTTTTCTTTCTAGTGTACAAAAATCGCCGAAATACCTGTGGAAATGCTTCAAAGAGTGTACGAAAACTTCAGAATAAGGCTTACTCAGTGTTTGGAATGTGAGGAGTGTTCAAAACCGTGTGAATTTCAATTCCCCATGTGAATGAATCAGGAAAAATAAAAATTCGAACATTCTAGATCTGCGTTTTATACCAATTTCAAATCCATGTGTCTTCCACCGCACTACCTCATAACCTAAAAAGGAAACCAACAATAAACTGCGTTGACATAGTTTGAGGTAAACTTAATAAAGTCCCGACAATTTTTATATTTTTATAAATTCAACCTGTACAGAAAGAGTAAAAACTGTATTGCAGTTGTATTCAATCAATAAAATTGGCGACTGGACTAGCATTGGATTGTACTTGATACGATTGCCCACCTTCACATTTCGATTTTGATGACGTCAGTTTGCTATCAAATCAAAATGTAGTCCTAATTCAATGGTTTCTTCATGGATTATATCAGTTTTTCCAGGAAACTTGAAAATTGCATCTGGCAAAAGCGTAATTTGGAAGTTATGTTTTCTTGTTCTGACTTTCCTATTCTAAGGATTTACTAAAATTATTCAGAAACTTATCATGGCTATGTTCTCTCTATATTTAGCTTCTATCATTCACCAATGTATTTGGAAAAAATTAATGGTTAAAATAGTTTCAATAGTCATTCTACATGACAAAAATAAATAACTGGGTAGTTAATGAAAACTAGTCCAAAGGAAACTTCCCCTTTGTCTGAAGGTCATCTTCTATGTGGCAAAGTGCCCATTTATGCTATTTTGAGTTTGAATCTGCAAAGATATACTACTGAGTCAGTCAAGCCAAACACATATTACTTAAGAACGAAAATTTTACTACTAATACTTCCTATCGATTTTCCGTACAAAAAAATGACATTCTAGGATTGAAAATCGATCCGAACAGATACTAAAACAATAGTCCAGTCGCCGACACTCAAAGTAAGAAATAAATGCAGACGACGTGTTCATCACCGTCTACATTCCACTCATTTTTTTTTCACAACAGTCATTTTTTTCACAACAGTGATAATGAGAATAAGAAAGTTCGTATGAAACGTAGCAGCACTGGGGATTTCTTTGAAGAATCCTGCTCATCGTTGAGCTCCTAGTAAACCAACAACATCCAGTGTGAATCTCATGTTACACATTTTCATTTTTCATTTTCAATAGTTCATCTACCTTCTGTCACATTTTGACAGGATAATTAAGAACCTCCCTGTGTGACATCTACATTAGTGCAGATAATGACAGCAAAAAAATAGAACGAGGTTTTCGCGATGTTATCTCACTTTTTCAAAATTCCGCGGCCAATTCCTATTCTACGATCTCCAGTATTCTACGCAAGTAGGAATCCTAATTTTAGGAAGAAACAGAATAAAATATATTGGAAAACACAATATTGTTCACTTCCAGGCATTTTAAAGTAGTGAAGAATGAAAAGATCAGCAGCTTTTATAAATATTACATTTTTATAATAAAACAGTCAATGCATATTCATTCATATGTATTGTAAGTGCTAAAATATTCAACTTAACCAGTCTTACAAGTCTAAAAACATTTGAAATATCGTCACCATATTTGTTAGTTGACTATGCAAAAATTGACTTTTTGAAAGAACGATAATTCTTCAACCACGGTCACAATTCACTATGACCATTCACGTGGCGTGGAATTAATATGACAACTATTGAAGAAGTTATAATAAACAACAGTGACCACTACAGTCCATATAGTGGCCACAATGAAACACAATGACCACAATAGTAGCCACAATTAACCATGACCATAATTGTAGCCAAATTTGTCCATGACCACTATTAATGCCTTAATCAATCATGATCAATAGTGACAAAACTTCGACATGGCCACTTGAGTGTCCACATTTTGCCATCATAATTGTAGCCACAATTGACCACGAGCATCATAATAGTGGCCACAAAAGCGACCGCCAATACGACTTGAAGAATACCGACGAGTAAGTGACACTCGACCGGCGGCATATATAACCACAATTCTTTCCATAATCCGATATGGCCACAATTAAATAGAATAATAGCCACAAAAGGACCGACTGTACGATTTAATCAAAACAGACGCGAGTGAGACTCACCCGGCGGCCGTATGAACACAATTCTAGCCACAACACACTTGTGACAAAAAATCATCAGGATCATGAACGTGGCCATAGAAGCGACCATCTGGAGTAGTACGATTCAAATAATCTTGACCATAATTATTGACCAGGAACATCATAACAGCGACCGCCAGTAGACGCGTAAGTGACACTCACCTGGCGGCATCTATGACCACAATTGTGATCACAATTGACGACTACAAAGCTTACTAAAAGTCATCACCACCATAAAGTGGCCAAAATTGACCACAATCATCATAGTAGTGGCCATCCGGCGGCATCTATGGCGACAATTCTGGCCACAATTGGACATTACCATAATTGTATCCTCAATTTGCCACGATTATCATAATAGTGGCCACAATTTGCCACGATTATCATAATAGTGGCCACAATTGACCACCATTATCATAATAGTGGCCACACTTGACCATGATCATCATAATAGTGGCCACAATTGACCATGATCATAATAGTGGCCACAATTAACCACAATTTTTATAAAAGTTACAACAACCATCAAAATAGTCGCCAAAATAGTGGCGCTAAATCAACCTGTTGCTATTCGATTCGAAACTTGTCCATAATTGACCATGATTATCATAATAGTGGCAACAATTGACCACCATTATCATAATAGTGGCCACAACCATTGAAATACTGGTCACAATAGCGGCACTAAATCAACCTGTTGCTATTAGATTCAAAACGTGACCACAATTGACCATGATTATCATAATAGTGGCCACAATTGACCACCATTATCATAATAGTGGCCACAACCATCAAAATAGTGGTCACAATAGTGGCACTTAAACAACCTGTTGCTATTCGATTAAAACGTGACCACAATTGACCATGATTATCATAATAGTGGCCACAATTGACCATGATCATCATAATAGTGGCCACAATCGACCATGATCATCATAATAGTGGCCACAATTGACCATGATCATAATAGTGGCCACAATTAACCACAATTTGTATAGAAATAGTTGCCAAAATAGTGGCGCTAAATCAACCTGTTGCTATTCGATTCGAAACTTGTCCATAATTGACCATGATTATCATAATAGTGGCAACAATTGACCACCATTATCATAATAGTGGGCACAACCATTGAAATAGTGGTCACAATAGCGGCACTAAATCAACCTGTTGCTATTCGATTCAAAACGTGACCACTATTGACCATGGTCATGATAATAGTGGCCACAATTGACCACCATTATCATAATAGTGGCCACAACCATCAAAATAGTGGTCACATAGTGGCACTAAAACAACCTGTTGCTATTTGATTAAAACGTGACCACAATTGACCATGATTATCATAATAGTGGCCACAATTGACCATGATTATCATAATAGTTGCCACAATTGACCATGATTATCATAATAGTGGCCACAATTGACCACGATTATCATAATAGTAACCACAACAATTAATAGAGTGGCCACAATAGTGGCGCTAAATCAACCAGTTGCTACTCGATTCGACACGTGGCCACAATTGACCACCATTATAATAATAGTGGCCACAATTGACCACCATTATAATAATAGTGGCCACAATTGACCATGATCATCATAATTGTGGCCACAATTAACCACAATTTTCATAAGTGACAACAACCATCAAAATAGTCGCCAAAATAGTGGCCATAAATCAACTTGTTTCGATTCGAAACTTGTCCATAATTGACCATGATTGACATAATAGTGGCCACAATTGACCACCATTATCATAATAGTGGCCACAACCATCGAAATAGTGGACACAATAGTGGCACTAAAGCAACCTGTTGCTATTCGATTAAAACGTGAATACAATTGACCATAATTATCATAATAGTGGCCACAATTGACCATGATTATCATAATAGTTGCCACAATTGACCATGATTATCATAATAGTGGCCACAATTGACCATGATTATCATAATAGTTGCCACAATTGACTATGATTATCATAATAGTGGCCACAATTGACCACGATTATCATAATAGGAGCCACAACCATCAAAATTGTGGCCACAATAGTGGCGCTAAATCAACCTGTTACTACTCGATTCGACACGTGACCACAATTGATCATGATTATCATAATAGTGGCCAAACTTGACCACCATTATCATAATAGTGGCCACAATTGACCATGATTATCATAATAGTGGCCACAATTGACCACGATTATCATAATAGTGGCCACAACCATCAAAATAGTGGCACCAAATCGACAACCTGTTGCTATTCGATTCAAAACAAACGGACGCTCAAGTGACACTCACCCGGCGGCATCGAGAGTTGCGGCGGCCGCATCAGCGGCCCCCCGATCAACGTAGGCGGCATCATCTGGCGCATGGGCGCCATCATGGGTGCCGACATGGTCATGAGGGGTGGGCCGGCGGTGACGCGGATCGGGAAGCGCTGCTGCATCATGGCGGCGTGGTGTTGGTTCATCGCATCGACTTGTTTCTGTTGGTGGTGAGCGGCGGCTTGTTGGGCCGCCGATACGGCTATCGCCAGCTGAAAAGAAAAGAGGAATGTCGATTTTTCCAATTCTCGATTTTTTGTTTTTATCCTTAACTGGATACGCCTCTGTGGTCAATATTCCTATGCGTTGCCATATGGTTACGCTAGGCCAAAGAGGGTCAAATATGGAATGATGGCTTTAAAAATGTCAAATTGTCAGAAATGAACAGAAATTGTGGTCTTTAATTGTTATTGCGGAAACTTGGAATGACTGTGGTCAATGTTTTGATTCAACGCTAGACCAAAGAGGGCCAAAAATAAAATGTTCGCTCTGAAACTGTCCAACCTTGATTGTCACGAAGTGCTGAACTCTCGTTCAGAACAGTCGAAAATAATAAACTTTATTGTCAGAAATTCAAGATGACAGCACAGCAACCATTGATTTAATGGTGTAACCAAATGGTAACGCTAGGCCGAAGGGGGTCAAACCTGAACTTTTCGCTTTCAAACAGTCAAATTTTGAGACTCAATAGTTTCCTCTTCACGAAATGCTGATCTCTCATTCAAAACTGTCAAAAATAAGTAACCTAATGATAATAAATTGTCATTTTGCGTCGATATTATTGAAACTTGAAATGACAGCACAACATTCCACACAGCAACCATCAATTCGAGGACGTAACCAAATGGTAACGCTAGGCCGAAAGGGGTTAATAACAGCACTTCCACCCCCAAAAACCCCTCAACTCACCTCCGAAGCTGCTTGGCTCGAACTGGCAGCCGCCTCGTCGACTTTCGAGGGCACATTCCTCGAGTATCTCGGATGCCTCGCCCTCAACTCCTCCAAAGACACGTCCTCTGCGGGGTGGATTATCTTGCTGGTGGCGCTGGAGGTGGCGATGGTGTTGCTTTTGCCGTCCCCGCCGCTGCCCCCGGGAGTGTTGGTGGTGGGGGGAGCACTTATGGTGGCGGCTATGCAGAAATATAACAATGTAAATTCAGAGTTGCAAAAATTTATGATTCATTTTTTTTGTATCGTCGCAACCCAGTAGTATAATCAAACAATCAAATAATTACAATAATTTCGTTTCAAATGTTCACCTGATGATATCGGTTTGAAATCGGCCCCTACGATAGGGGCTCCGGGACCACCGGGCGACGAAGTGGGTATTGCACTAGGAAACAGAGGCTTAGGGGGGCCCCCTTGCCCCTGCATCATTGCCTGCATATGCGGAGGCATCATGTGCATCCTGAAACAAAAAAAGAATAACAGGAAAATAGGATGGAATGTTCGACAGGTGCCTCTTTCATTGTCGAGCAGTGTATATTGAAATAAAATATGGACACATGTATGAAATTATTTATTGTTGAGCAGTGTACAATAAAATGCGAAAAAATACTAGATGAGTATTATTAATCATTCTTATATAGTATATGATTCTAAATGGAGGCATCGTAGGTAGACATAATTTCAACACTCAAACACATTTTTATTCACTCAGAGGATGGCTTGTACAAAGATGACCGTTTATCAAAATACAACATCAACAAGTGATTCGTTCTGATACTGCTTCCACCTTCGATGAGTCGTCGACTCGTCGAGGCCGCTTGTGATAAGGCATTCCTTAAGCGGCGTTCACAACCAAACTTTTTACGTTTTGCTTTTTACGTTTCGTATTCTGATTGGTGAAGCAGAATCTGAAATTAAACGTGAACTAAACCTATGCAAATGTCATTCACAACAACAAAAAATCAACGTGACTTTTTATGGCTCAGTTGCCTTGGTTTGTTTTATTTGTTTTTTATCCTGAAATGAAGTAAATAATCATAACAATAATATTGATCAGATGATGAATAATATTCATAGTACTGGCGGTGACGAAAATTGATCCTTATTCAATCAATCAATCTTCCAACAAGAAAATAATGAATTGAACAGTATACCTATCTACTATTCTGAGAATTCACGAAAAAAATCATGAAAACATTATCATAGCTTCCATATTATTACAGAATATTTTCAGCTTTTTGCGTCATTTCAATTACAGATTTTGCTTCACCAATCAGAATACGAAACATAAAAAGCAAAACGTAAAAAGTTTGGTTGTGAACGCCGCTAAATGAATGTTTTGTCCGTATTTCCTTTATAGAATCGTAAACGGCTTGATCGATTCACTAATTCTTTTTTTGTTGTGTTTTTCATTGTCAGGAGAAGGTTTTTACGAGAAATTCAAGATGGCGCATCTAATATGGCGGACGAGTTTCGTAATTATAATCGGATTCTATTCAAAATTGGTATATGGAAATTTTTGAGGTCGGAGATTATGATTCTTACCTCAAAATTTGAAAATTCAATATGACGGTCCAATATGGCGAACGAGTTTTATAATTGTGATCCGATACTGTTCAAAATTGGTATCTGGGGTTTTCGGGTTCGGAGATTATGATCCTTCCGTCAATTTTTGGAAATTCAAGATCGCAGATCCAATACGGCATACGAGTTTGTTAATTAAGATCCGATTCTATTTAAAATTGGTATCTGAGGGTTTTCATGGTTGGAGATCATGATTCCTCCGTCATAATCAGAAAATTCAAGATGGCGGATTCAACATGTCGTACGAGCTTTGTATTAAATAGAGTTTCAAAACACTAATGAAACATGTTTTCATATAGATAGCCATACTAAAAAGAAGTTGAAAAGAAATAGTAATTGGAAAAACTTTTATGGTTAGCCAAACTGAAGAGAAGTAGAAAATAATATAAGTGTGTTGTTGTTGTTAAATATTCAACTGGAATTTTTTTTCTAGAAATAATGTACATGGCAAAACGTTTGCCGGTCAGCTATAGACAATAAAATGACTGGAAATAAATTCAATTTCTGTGTACTCTCATTTCCTTCAATTTAATTTTATTAAGTAGCATAACAATGCCCACAGGGTAAAGCTAGTATGGAATATAATACAGTGCTCAAAGGAAGTGGTACTGTTAAGGTACTGTACAAGGTGGCACAAATTGGACACTAGAACTTACCCTTCAATTGTCCAATTTGGGCTACTAGGGTGTGTCAAAGTTCCCAGCCCAGGCTCATAACAAAAAAAAACTGCAAATGCAAATTTGGCAAAGGAAATTTGAATAGTTGTTTGTGAGGCGTGTTTCTTCATATTTACAAAATTCTCAACCTTTTTCAAAATGGTGGAAATGGCGTTAAAAAACTGTTCTTCCCACAATTTTTTTTACCATATTCTGTAAGAACATATTTTCTCAAACAACTTTCATCCACGAAGTTTTTTTTTCTATCTTCATTTGGTTAATATAATAATAAATAAAAATCAAGTAGGTCAGGAAACAAATTTTTTTGTGAACAATAGGATGGGATACATTTTGCATTCATATTAAAACTGATTAAGACTAACACCCGGCCGACTAGATATTTGGTGAGTTGGATGAAAATGTTTGAAAAATATATTCTTTCAGGATACAGAAAAAAATTGTAACTTTGTGGATGAAATCTTTTTTTTTGTGCCATTTCCGCCCTTTTGAGGAAGGTAGAAAACTGTTTAAATATGAAAAAATATACCTTTACACAGAGCTATTTGAATTCCCTTTGCAAAATTTGCATTTACAGTATTTCTTTTCCTGTTATAGAGATTTTGAATCACCCTGTACATTGAAAAAATTAAATGAAATATAGAAACAAAAATTCAGAATAAAACACACAGCCCAACAAAAGTGTGATTTTGTTCATTAGTGTGTAATGAAATTAAATGATTAGAGAAACATTAATGAGTCCAGCTTTGTTGAGCAGTGTATAACAAAACACAAAAAATATGGCCATGATATGTTTCAACACACACAGAAGTGCAATATCAATGAGCAGTGAATATCAGAAGACAAAAAAATATAACATAATGGATATAAGATGAACTCAAAAATACAGTACTCAACAAAAGTGTGATTTTACTGATCAGTTTGCATTGAAATTGAATGAGTTAGAGAAATGTTAATGAGTGTGATTTTGTGGAGCAGTGTACTTTTACTGTACATAAACATAAATTTTGATTTAAATACATTGATAATATGCTCAATAAAAGTGGATTTATTGAGCAGTATACCTACATTAAAGTGAAATAAGATAAAGATAGATGTACATTGATTCGAAAAAAAAAAACACAGATCAACAAAAATGCTATTTTAATAGGCAAAAAGCATACAGGAAGATAAAGGAAATAGGACATTAAAAACACACTACTGAAATAAAGTTTTATTTTGTTGATGAGTATGCTGAAATTAGATAAATAGAGACAAGTCAATGAGTGTAACTTTGTTGACAAGGGCATATAAAAATATAATTTGAATTCAATAAAATATTTGCCAAAATGCTCAATGATATGATTTAGTTGAGCAGTGTATCAATATTTAAGTGAAATAAGATGAAGATAGATGTTTATCAATTTAGAAAAAACAAAACACAGATCAACAGAAGTGCTATTTTAATGAGAAATGAATACCAATTGAACAAAGAAATTATAAATATTTGAATCCTTATTGGTATGATGAAATTCCCTGTGATATAAAAGAAGTCAAATCATTTTAATGCTACAAAACTGAAATAAAAAACTGGACATTAGTCTCTTCAAGGAGTTTATTTGTTTCTCTACTATTCATATGGAATTTGGAACAGTACAGAATTGCATTTATACCAAATGATTGAATGAAAAACAACACATTTTATTTATAAATTACCACTGTCTGGAATTAATCAATTGATTTAATAACCATGATTTTCATTTTATATACCTTACAACAAGTTATACTTCCTAAAGTTTTCTTTGTTTATTCATTACCCATATGTATACTTTTAATTTATGTTATGTCAACATTTTGAAAGAGCTTCATTATTATTATTAGTAAAAGCATAATAGGAAAACCTCCAAGAAAACAAAATAAATGAGAAATTAAAAACACCCTACTCAACAAAAGTTTGATTTTATTGATGAGTGTAACTTTGTTGTGCAGGGTATATAAAAATAAGAGTTTGAATTTAATGAAATACTCAAGAGAAAATGCTCAATGATATGTTTTTTTTGAGCAGTGTACCTATACAGAAATTAAATAAGGTATACATAGGTACATATATTAATTCAGAAAAGGAACAGTGAATATAATATCAAAACACAAACCTATAGACACTTGAATATGTTTTGAAATACACTGTTCAACAGAAGTGGAATTTCCATGAGCAGTGAACATCAAAATGCAAAAATATATAAGAATATAAATATGAGACAACAATAAAAATACATCACTTAACATAAGTGTGACTTTGTTCATTAGTGTGAATTGAAATTGAATGAATTATATGAATAGGTTGAGCAGAGTAGGAAACATACAGATAAGAAATGAAATTTTCTGATCAATAAGTACAATTTCATTAATTAAATACAAAAACATTACCAAGTGTAGTACTGTTGAGCAGTGTATAACAAAATACAAAAAATATGTTTCAACACACACTGTTCAACAGAAGTGCAATATCAATGAGCAATGAATATCAGAATACAAAAATATATAACATTATGAATATAAGATGAACTCAAAAATACAGAACTCAACAAAAGTGTGATTTTACTGATCAGTCTGCATTGAATTTGAATGAGTTAGAGAAATGTTAATGAGTGTGATTTTGTGGAGCAGTGTACTTACTGTACATAAACATAAATTTAGATTCAAATAAATTGACAATATACCTACATTTGAGTGAAATAAGATAAAGATAGATGTACATTGATTCAGAAAAAAAACACAGATCAACAAAAATGCTATTTTGATAGGCAAAAAGCATACAGGAAGATTAAGGAAATAGGACATTAAAAACACTACTTAACAAAAGTTTTATTTTGTTGATGTGTATACTGAAATTAGATAAATTAGAGACATCAATGAAATTTGAATTGAATAAAATATTTGCCAAAATGCTCAATGATATAATTTAGTTGAGCTGTGTACCTACATTTAAGTGAAATAAGATGAAGATAGATGTTTATTAATTCAGAAAAGAAACACAGATCAACATTTAAATTTATTATATTATATTATTATTATTTATTTAAATGGGAAATGAATACCAAAAGCATAATAGGAAAACAAAATGAAAGTGAAGTTAAAAATACCCTATTCAACAAAAGTTTGATTTTATTGATGAGTTTGAATTAAATAAAATACTCAATGATATGTTTTTTTTTGAGCAGTGTAAATACACTGAGATTAAATAAGATATACATAAGTAGGTACATATTATATTACTTCAGAAAAGGAACAGTGAATATAATATCAAAACACAAAACCTATAAGACACTTGAATATGTTCAACAGAAGTGCAATCTCCATGAGCAGTGAACATTAAAATGCAAAAAATATAAAAATATATACATGAGACAACATTAAAGTACAAGCAAGTACAATTTCATCAATAAAATACAAAAACATAAACAAGTGTAGTTCTGTTGAGCAGTGTATACCAAAATGCAATAAATCAATTAAACACACAAACATAAAATAAATCAAACTTACCCAGGGTGATGCATGAAATGTGACCCCATTTGGGCCATCTGCATCATGTGGCCCATCTGCATCCCTGGGGCCATACCTGGAGGGGGCATCATGCCAGGTACCATCCCAGGGGGCATGCCTTGCATGACCCCTGGGGCATTCCCCAGCAGCCCCTCCGGCTTGGGCCTCTTGGTGGCAGGCTCATCATCATCTGAGCCAGAATCATTGGTGGTGGGTCTACTGCCCTGTTTCTGTCTTTCGTGCTCCCTCAAATCTGCTGCTGGTATGCCTGAGGAATAAACAAAATACATACTGATTAAATGGCGTCTGGATTCTGTGGAGCAGTTGGGAAGCTTCTAGGCTAGGAGAAATGTATTTTTAGAAAATTAAAAATAGGTGTTTACCTTCCATGCCATATATTTCAATATCTACATTGGAACGATTTGGCAACGAGTTGGGGACCTTATCTATCGTTTCCTTGTGGACTTGCATACAATGTATGGAGAGTCCGGGACCTGTGTACAATTTTTTATGACATATGTGACACTTGAAATGCTTGGCTTTCTGGTGTTGGATGAGGATTTTCTCATCCTCGAATTCCCGGTTGCAATACCTAGATTCGGTCAAGAAAAATATATTGATTCGATGCTGTGAAAGTGGATTTTACGCAGTACAGGATGGAAAGACAATCATGTGAATTATTAAAGGATACCAGCACCATGGTTTAGACAGCTTCTTCTTCTTGCGACCCATTTTTAAATAGACTAATTAACGATTTGGATAATCACAGATGATTTAACAGCATAAATAAACACAAGTATAACAGCCTATTACAAAAAATCTGTTCACACGAAAATATTTTATTGATTACTCAAACAAAGATGGCGATAAAGGTCAGAATCAGAAAATCAGTGACAGTGTTGCGCTGTTGCGACTTTTACCTTTAACCTTAGATCATTTAACAAGCCACAAAACATAAAACGAAGAGACATTCCTCAGTTTGAATCTTCTTCTCTTTTTATACACAGAGTCCATATATACTTCAGCCATTTCCATCAAAAACATTTCAGAAGCAAATTGTACTCAAGGTGAGATGTTTATATGTTTATAAGTCTCTAGGCATCTTAATTCAAGGATAATACATAATAATCCTTGAATTGTACCTGATAGGGTCCCTTGTACCTGAATTGTACTGAAATTTGAATATTTGATTCTCTCACAGAGACTGAAGACTCAACAAAACAACTGTGCGGGTCTGAGAATCGAAAAATACAAAAAAAAAATCCTTGAAATTCTTGAAAGCACATTTGGAAGCATAGATTGGTCCGCCAGTGAAAGCAATGGGTAATGCAATGTTATTCACACAGCACACACTACTACCAGGGTACACGGGCCTGCTGGTGACCGAAGGGCCTTCGGGCCACGTGACGTTCTTTTACTCTCAATGTGGAGCTTTAGGTCCAATTTTCATTCAAGAAAATGCGCTCGGATAGATGCGATCCGCTTTTCTGTCGTGACGTCACCAATTGTTCTGATAGAATGTTTATATTCAGTTCATTGGATAGAATTTATGCTGAAACGATAAAGCAATTGAATGAACAACAAGAGACAGATTTTGTCATGTATCTTGATAATCAGAAGAGCTCGATTCGATTTTATATGGATTCTACTCATAAACAATAACTCCACCTTCTAAAATCTTTCAAGAATTCCAAAACTCCTCAATATTTTTTGTTTTATTCCGAATAAAAACAAAGAACAATACTCAAAATGTGTCAATTGTCATGTCGATCTCCTCCAAACCGCTGGATTTTCACACATCGATTTGAAAGTGTGCACTTTATTACAACAGTTTGATGAATTTCAATCAACATTCCAGCGGAATTTTACAACGGATTCTTCGAATCATGCACATGACAAAATGTTGGAATGAAAAACACACCCTTATGAGGCCACCTGTCAGTTTTACAAATCTTGTTTATTCAGACATTGACAGATTGACACATTCAAATTCGACACTCGACAGACTCGACAGTGACAGATACTTTTGATAGCTATTTAATAAGATTTAAACTTTGTTGAAGAAGTTGAAACTTGAAATGAATTAAAAAAATAAATATAGTGATTGTAAATAACTGAACTTGAATTTAAGTTATTATCCTGATTCATACGAGGTAATATTTGTAATGTATATTGTATCGTTTTGTTAGCAATCAGTAGCATGGTGCTATCTCAACAGTTACATCAATTGTGTCCCATAACAAAATCCAAACTCAACTGTTGCAGGCATTGATCTTCTAGAAGGACCAAAATGAGTGATCTAGATTCTGAGCACTCAGAGGCTACCCCCTGTGAAATGACTCCTCAGGAAACTGAGAAACAGGAGGAGGCCAAACTGAGGGCAAAATACACAACCCCCACAGTGCCTGGTGGTGTACCAGGACGAATGGCCAGTGGACACTCAGCCTTCCTGCAGAAACGCCTTGCTAAAGGACAGAAGTTCTTTGATTCTGGAGACTATCAGATGGCTAAGCAAAAATTTGCAGCACCTTCTAAGCCAGGCTTGCAGCTGCCTGGCCCAAGTCCTTTTGTTGTCACTGGGGATGCTATTCCCACCCCTGAGACTGTTCCTCTTAGAAAGACTTCTTTAGTGCAGCCTTCAAAGTTTTCTAATGTTAATTAAGTTGTTGGAGAGTGTGAGAGATGTTTGAACTTTTTGGTTATTTTGATAATAAAATAGTGGAGTTAAATCTTCATTACTGGGAACATTCATTGCCTATTACTTGTATGATAATTACTTCTGAAAGATACAAATAAATAGTTTTGAGATTCTCTGAATATTAATGCTGAACATTGTTTTAATCTTTAGCTCATATTTCTAGCCCAAGAATTAGGGTGAAAAATGGGCAACAATAAATGTGGGTCAAAGAAATATTTTACTTCTCAATGTTCTGCTAAATTTCTTTCTTGTAAAGCATCAAATATTCTTCAAAATAATTAGGAAACCACAGTTACAAGTTGAGGACAATCTATCATATTTTATAATATGAAAAAACATCACACAAAAGAGACCTTATAACTAGTCACTTTTTGAGTCCCAAAAGACGTCTTTCCAATGCAATTTGACTAGGAATGACGTCATTTTGACGTATAATACTGAAGGTCATAATGATGATATAAGTATCTATAAGTACAAAGTAAAAAAAAAACTTGAGTAATTGATGTCATGTTTTTTTGTTCACCTCTTTTTGTCATCAATCTAGAAATAACAACTCTTTACCAAAACTCGTTTGTCTATCGAGTGGCAAAGCTTCGGAATTGTTTGCCAAAGGGAGTAGGTATTCCCAAGAACTCATATTTAATCCCCAAAGGTGAGAAAAAGGAACCTTATTAGGATATTAGGTAGGTACTGCTACCACAGTGCTACTCCCTGTTCTCGGGAATCAATGCTACCAGGTGGCGCTCGGTTTTCATCGTTCCATGTCAAAGCCACGTCAAAACTGGGGGAAAACAAACTCAATCCCATTAGTGCCATTAGCTTGTGTACTGTGTACTGATAAGAGTGATAACACTTTTTGTCATTGACAAGTTTGACAACTACAGCTACAGCAAGATGTAAGCAATGTAGTCTATGCACTTTATCCATAGACAACAGTTTGTTTTCCCCCAGTTTGATGTTCGTATTATGTGACCTAGAGATGTCACCCACTTCGTGGATTTCGCGATCCAAGAGATGGAAGAGGTTTGTTGGGAACTTACGATTTCAAAAACCGGCAAAAGAATGATCAATCTATATGAAATAATTCGTGTCATTTTGGATATTTCAATAACTCATTATTGGAAAGACTCCCTAAATGGGTATGGAACAGGGCACAGTGTGTTTCAAATTCAAAATTAATCAAGATTTCATCAGGGACTCATTTTTTAGATCAGATCAAGACTTTTTTGTATACATATGTGTCCGCAAACGTTTCGTTACCATTTCACAGCTAGAGCGTTACAATTTCAAGATATTTAAATAATTTTTTTTATAGATCTCTTCCAGCTTTTGATATACAGGGTGTGATATACATGCGTAAAAAAATCAGGAGCATAAATTTAGCTGACGTCAAAATAAAGAGCACACAAAGAGAGACGTCATAATATATTACGTTTTTTTTTGACTGCGCGAATGACGTCATATATATATATTGACGTATAATACTGCTGAAGGTCGTGAAGATGATATATTTTTACCAAATAAACTATATGCAACTCTTGACAGGTTGACCTCATGATTTTCTTGTTTTTCACATCCTTATTAATTTGTCGTTAACCTTTTAGGAACGTCGAACAACTTTTTGCCAAAAACTCGTTTGTCTATCGAACGGCAAAGCCTTAGTAGAATTCTTTGCCAAAAAGGAAGTATTTCCATCAAGAACTTTTATGATTCCAAAAATATACAGGGTGATCCACCGGTGGATGGCCTATCCGAAGTATCTGGAGAACCAAAGAACATCAGAACATTCTGAAAATTGGAATGCTTCGATAATATGGAACATATATATTCTCTATATCCGTCTAAAAAATAAAATACTTCAGAAGGACATTTTATCGCAATGTTATTTCAACAATATCACATAACTGGAAAATATTTTTGTTCTGAAGAAAATTTCAATATCTCCCTTTTTCTCTCCCAATCGTCTCTAGGTACGAACGATATATTATCATATATATAGAGATTGCCTCGCCAGATTTTGAAAATAACATGTTCCCGATTCTGATAACCCGTTGACGAAAATGATTGCCAATACTTCACCATGATTGATTGATTGATTACATTTTGAGTCCCATATTGTTTGGTACACTTGTCTGATGATAACCGTAGAGCCGAAACCAGTTATACTTACATGTTATTGATGATTTCTGAAGTGTGGTCGACCGGCTTTGTGTTGCTTGTTTCCTTTTGGAATTACTTTGGACTAGCGAGTCTGACATGTTCTTTTTTCTAAATAACAATGCTTGAGTGAATAGAAGAATGAGACTTATATATATATATATATTCTGCTGCTTGTCTTTTCAATTTCTCTAATAGCGCCTGATTGTCAGATACGATTTTAGAGGTTACATTTTCTCTCAAATCAATCATAGCCGTAAATGGAAAATATAAATAGGGTATTACCTACCACCCCACTCAGTTCTCGACTTCGTTTTATATCGATATGGCACTTTTCCCAGATAAACATGGGAAGAATGGATGTAACAAAATTTTAACATTGCAGAATAGACACATGACACATATGGATATATTTAGTGCTAGTTCGGTCGGTATTGAGAATGACACCATCAAATGATATATCACTTTGCAATTTACTTGACTATCCTTCATCAGAGCACTGCTTCATTGAAAGAACGACTGTTTCTGGAAGTGCACAGATAATTTGGGAAAGAACTGGTATAAAACCACAGTTTATACTTGACTCTTAAAGGCGACACCCTCCTTTGTAGAGAGGCATTACGAACGCCAAAGCTGATACACTCCACTCGTGAGGGTACCGGACGTGATTCCATATACCTATACACTCACAATGTCGACTAATTTTTCGACTCTTTGACTGAATGATTAATGAAAGTCGTTTTATATATGACGAAATGCTCGAAGAATAATAAAATAACGATCTGTATTTGAATTTAATGTTCATGAAAACTAATCTTGGACATCTCCATATTCCATTAATCTGTCTGACAGATGTTGAGCTCCTAAGTGAATCGTCGTCAACGATTATTTTGAGTTCTTGTGAGTACATGATCCCAAATAATGAGATATATCTGCCATAGTTTACATTGCTTCTGGCATATCCTGAAAAACAATCGGATTATAGTATTATGCTTCTCTGATTGCGCAATATATTATTCTTTATAATTCACATCTATGAAAGAAAACATAGGTGTATCCTTCAGAGCACTGCATCATTGAAACAACGACTGTTGATTTCTGAAAGTGCACAGATAATTTGGAAAAGAAATGGTATAAAACACTGTTTATTTTATACCTAACTCTTGGAGGCGACACCCTCCTTTGTAGAGAGGCATTACGAACGCCAAAGTTGATACACTCCCCTCGTGAGGGTACCGGACGTGATTCCATACACTCACAATGTCGACTAATTTTTCGACTCTTAGATTTAATGATTGATAAAAGTCGTTTTCTATGAGAATAAAAATACGATCTGTATCTGAATTTAATGTTCATGAAAACTTTTCTTGGACATCTCCATATTCCATCGATCTGTCTGACAGATGTTGAGCTCCTAAGTGAATTGTCGTGGACGATTATTGAGTTCTTGCGAGTACAGGATCCCAAATGATGAGATATCTGCCATCTTTTACATTGCCTCTGGGACTCGCTCTGGAATATCCTGAAAAAACATCGGATTAGTATTATTTTGAATTTAATGTTCATGAAAACTTATCTTGGAAATCTCCATATTCCATTAATCTGTCTGACAGATGTTCAAATGATGAGATATCTGCCATAGTTTACATTGCTTCTGAAATATATCCTGAAATAAAAATCAGATTTGTATTATGCTCCTCTGATTGCGCAATATATTATTCATTATAATTCACATCTATGAGAGTAAACATGGGTGTATCCTTCAGAGCACTGCATCATTGAAACAACGACTGTTGATTTCTGAAAGTGCACAGATAATTTGGAAAAGAACTGGTATAAAACCACTGTTTATACCTAACTCTTAAAGGCGACACCCTCCTTTGTAGAGAGGCATTACGAACGCCAAAGTTGATACACTCCCCTCGTAAGGGTACCGGTCGTGATTCCATACACTCACAATGTCGACTAATTTTTCGACTCTTAGATTTAATGATTGATAAAAGTCGTTTTCTATGGAGAAATGCTCGGAGAAGAATAAAAATACGATCTGTATTTGGATTTAATGTTCATGAAAACTTATCTTGGACATCTTCATATTCCATCAATCTGTCTGACAGATGTTGAGCTCCTTAGTGAATTGTCGTGAACGATTATTGAGTTCTTGCGAGTGCAGGATGGCAAATGATGAGATATCTGCCATTGTTTACATTGCTTCTGGAATATCCTGAAAAAACATCGGATTAGTATTATTTTGAATTTAATGTTCATGAAAACTTATCTTGGACATCTCCATATTCCATCAATCTGTCTGACAGATGTTGAGCTCCTTAGTGAATTGTCGTGAACGATTATTGAGTTCTTGCGAGTGCAGGATCCCGAATGATGAGATATCTGCCATAGTTTACATTGCTTCTGAAATATATCCTGAAAAAAAAAATCGGATTAGTATTATGCTCCTCTGATTGCGCAATATATTATTCATTATAATTCACATCTATGAGAGTAAACATGGGTGTATCCTTCAGAGCACTGCATCATTGAAACAACGACTGTTGATTTCTGAAAGTGCACAGATAATTTGGAAAATAACTGGTATAAAACCACTAGCTGTTTATACCTAACTCTTAAAGGCGACACCCTCCTTTGTAGAGAGGCATTACGAACGCCAAAGTTGATACACTCCCCTCGTAAGGGTACCGGACGTGATTCCATACACTCACAATGTCGACTAATTTTTCGACTCTTAGATTTAATGATTGATAAAAGTCGTTTTCTATGAAGAAATGCTCGGAGACTCGCTCGGAGAGGAATAAAAATACGATCTGTATTTGGATTTAATGTTCATGAAAACTTATCTTGGACATCTCTTCATATTCCATCAATCTGTCTGACAGATGTTGAGCTCCTTAGTGAATTGTCGTGAACGATTATTAAGTTCTTGCGAGTGCAGGATGGCAAATGATGAG